TTTTTTTTTGTTGATCGCAATTTATCCTATCTAATACTTCTTTTTTCTTCTGCTTAATACAGATTAACTTTCTGGCTGTCAAATTCTGTTGTTTTGAGAGCAATCATTAGCAAATCCTTTGGCGAAAATCAGTTTCCTATTTCTGTTGGAGCAGCCGTTGGAATGAAAGATGACAGGAATTGGAACAAGAAATCATTGTCACTTCAGTGGGGCTCTGTTTCCAGCAGGGGTATAGCAAGTGCTATTGAGGAAAACTTCAGTGACTGGGAAAACCCTCTTATATTTTCAGCTGCACTTGAAAAGGTTGAAGCATGGATATTTTCCCGTATCATTGAATCTATTTGGTGGCAGGTACTCTTTTTATTCTTTTAATTGATTCGATAAATTTCTAAGTGAAATACTGTGTCAATGGAATGCAATCTCATTAAGATGCTTAGGTTTCTCGAGACTAATAATATCATCTGGGAATATGTTGGTTCTGAATGAAATGAATCAATTAGTAGCTAAGTTGATTTTGTGTCTCTTTCCTCCAGACCTTCACTCCGCATATGCAGTCTGGGGTTGCTAATGAAATTTGTACAAGTATGAGTTCCGATTCAATCAAGTTCTATGGAAGGACGTCTAGTTCAGGTGACCAACAGCTGGAAAAATTTTCTTCTGAACTCTGGAAAAAGGCCTTCAGGGATGCATATGAAAGGATTTGTCCAGTTCAAGCCGGAGGGCATGAGTGTGGCTGTTTGCCAGTCCTTTCTAGACTGGTACAACTTCTAGATATTTTCCTTCAACTTGCAAATATAAAGGATCCAACTTTTTTTCTTTTTAATGAGTGAATGTGTGACATCACCCTGGAAATATTTAGTAGCTGCATTGCCCTAAAGTTTGCAAAGCTCAGGTAGTTCTCAAAAAATTCTGTAACTAGGAAGAGCAGAAGCTACCTTGGTATTAAGATTAAGAAACCAGTGTATAAGTATTCCAAGATGAAATTGATTGTCCACATCTGTCAGGAAAAGGAAAAGATGCACATAATTTATACTCCATATCTGGGGGCACTCTTCTGGCTTGCGAAATTATAGCATATATATTAGCTTATGATGAATCATCTGGCACTATTGACGGACTTAGATTCATATCTCTATGATTTGGTTGTGTAGTTTGCAAAACCTTCTTTTCACATTTAGTAAATAACCTATAAACAAACTGCTTTTGTTAACCAGATAATGGAGCAATGCGTTGCTCGACTGGATGTGGCTATGTTCAATGCAATTCTTCGTGAGTCTGCCAATGAAATTCCAACAGATCCTGTAGCTGACCCTATCAGTGATGTTGAAGTTCTTCCTATTCCAGCAGGGAAAGCTAGCTTTGGGGCTGGTGCACAATTGAAAAATGCGGTGAGCATCACAACCAAATTTTCTTACTCAAGATGTAGGCAATATACAAATAGAAATCTTTAATTTTTTTTTATTTTCATGATTTGAGTTCGACTGATGATTCTGAAGAAAATATTCATCCACAAATGACAGATCGGGAACTGGTCCCGATGGCTAACTGATCTCTTTGGTATTGACGATGACGATTTACTCCAAGATGAGAATAGCTCGGATGCTACTGAAGACGATGAGAGAAAATGTAATGATGCATCCATGAAGTCTTTCCGTCTCCTCAATGCTTTGAGTGATCTCATGATGCTTCCAAAGGATATGTTATTAAGTCGCACAGTCAGAAAAGAGGTTTAGCTGTGGCTTAGTTGTTAATGTTTTTCATTATCTTGTAGGCATATAATAATCGAGTCCTTATTTATATAATTTCTTCTGTGTTCCTAGGTA